ATAATTTTCTATTAGTGTTCAAGGATCTTCAAGAAATATCCACCTAAAGTGAAGGTACTCGCGTAAGTATTTCCGGTTGAGGTGGTGGGGAAATCAGCTCTAGCTCGCTTCTTTTTTTTTTAATTTGTATCAGTCGTAGAAGTAATGACATCTGCCACATTTTCATTTTCCTGGAAAATCGGGAAGGACCTTTCATTTAAAACTATCAGATATCTGCTGAACTCTTTTACACGAAATACCTATTTTTTTTTTGCCCTGTAGCCTGGGCTATTACGTCAACAATACAATACAAAATAAATAATTATTGACTATTCATGTCAGTGGTGTAGCTTATTATTCTTAAGGGAAAATGCACACTGCGATAGCCGATACAGAATACAGCTGCTACTCGTTGTTCTTTACATGCTTCCAGCAGCTTAGCTTAATGGTAGCTCCCAAACATTTTGCATGCTATGCACAAATTAATTTAGCACATGGTGCTCTTAATCGTCAGCACAAGAATACCAATGCGGTGACTAAAAAGAGAGTGGAAAGGAAAAACCGGGACTCATTCCGCACACAGTTATCAAGGTCACGAAGTTTTAGTCCGTATTGGTTCAGCTGCAATATGCTTGGAGATAGCGAAATAAGGATTTCAGAGACAATTATCTAATCAGCAGGTTGACATCTTTACGTGTTTTTTTTTTCGACACGATATAGGTTTTTTACGTAATAATCCTGCGGGTCCCAAACTTCTTTTACATGGACGACCTAACGGTGATCTCTCCATGATGTTTTCGCTAGAGGAACCCACAGCACTTCTGCTTCACCTTTTAACTTTGTTGAGCTCCGTACATCAAGAAGTAACCGGAAAAACCGCTCCTTCGTTCCAATGCCAATGGTACTGAGGTTATTTATCAAACAAATAATCTGTCAGAAGGGGTTTTCCCTAGCTCTATTAACCCTTTTGCTGATCACTTTAGACCATTCTCTACAGGGTTGTCTCAATATTCGGTGGCCATAGAAGTACCACGTATTTCTAGACCCAACAGATGTGGCTGGATATGATTTACCTCCATGAAAAAGTGCTTCGTTTATCCGTTAGAGGGCGTCGGCAAAGTTTTCTTTTCATCACACATTTTTTCAGATATTTTTGGAAGCAATAGTCCGATTCGAATGAAATTTGGAACACAAGTGTTTTGCTAGACTTCCTAATATATGACTTTTACAAGAAATCATACATATTAGCAGAATTTTTGCGCAGCTCTCCCAACAGGCTCTTTTTTTCAAAAAAAGTGATAGTAATATTGAACACCTTATATGAAAAATTCGCAATATCATTCTTGTTATTCATCATTCAGAGTCGTCGACTATGGCATCCACATCCTATAAAAGAAAGTGTTTAAAGTTGAGTGAGAAAGTGAAAATCATAGACGAAGTTGCACTAGGTGCGGGAGTGACACAGTTAGCAAAAAAAATATGGAGTATCGAAAGCAACAATCTGTAAAATTAAGCGTATGAAAACTCAAATTTTACAAAGAACGTGCGACACATTTGGAGGTCCGGGAAAAAGAAAAACTTAAAAAAATGCGAAGGCACCTAAAATGGAAAATTCCCTGTATAAGTGGTTTTTAAAACAACGGGAAAATCATGTCCCAGTTAGCGGCGGAGTACTTAAACAGAGAGCGAGACTGAGAAATGAAAAACTGAAAGAAACTGAAAATTTCGTAGCTAGTGATGGCTGGCTACAACGATTTAAAACAAGATATGGAATTCGACTGCTATCTATATCTGGTGAAAAATTATCAGCACAACCACAATTAGTGCAACCATTCAAAGAAAAATTGATGAAAACAATTACCGAGCTAGATTTAAGAATGGAACAAATTTACAACGTAGATGAAAGTGGCCTTTATTGGAAAATGTTACCAGAGAAAACCCATGCTGCATCATTTGAAAAATCTGCCCCGGGAAGAAAGCCGGAGAAACAACGAATAAGGTTTCTAGCCTGCACTAATGCTAATGGTTCACACAAAATAAAGCCACTGGTAATTGGGAAAGCAAAAAATCCGCGCTCATTTAAAAATGTTAATATCCCTGTTGATTATGACTGTTCAAAAACCGCTTGGATGACTGAAATGGTTCCACAGGTGCTTTGTCCCTCAGGTATGACAATCAATTATCACAAATGCTCTATTCATAATTTGAAGATGTGTTTTCAATTTGTAGGTAAAAGGTTTCCTAAAACAACAGAAGCTTCCAATAAAAACGTTGTTACTATTGCATAATGCACCAAGTCATCCTCCCGAGCAACAACTGGGGAGCAGGGATGGATCAATTTTTGTCATGTACATGCCGCCCAACGTAACACCGTTAATTCAACCGATGCACCAGAATATAATAAGACTCACCAAACCATACTATAGGAAGTTTCTACTTTCGTCTGTCTTATCAAAGAATCCTGAAAACTTATCTGAGGCTTTAAAAAAAGTAACATTACGAGAAGCTGTTTTAGATTTACATATGGCCTGGAATGAACTTAACCAGCAAACTATTCAAAAATGTTGGAACAATCTCTTTTGTACCAATAATGAAGATGATGAAGAAGACGATGTCCCCTTAAGCGTAATTAGAGAACGTTTGCGATCCAATAATGATAATGTTATTAGTGTGTCATTGGATGATGTTGATTTATTGAAAACAGTGAATCCCAACATTGTTTGTACTCCTGCTGATATTAATTTATGGAACGAAGATAAGCAGACGAATGATGCTGATAAGGAGGAGGATATGGACAGTGAGGATGATGAGAACGATCCCATTGAAGTCAGAAGTATAGTGACTGACGCGCAAGCTATACAAGTTTTTAACCAAGCTTTAGATTGGGCTGAAAGAAAAGAAGTTTCATACACGGATATTTTAGTTCTTCGTAAATTACGGGCGCAGGGATTGGAAGACAATGCTAAGCGCAAATTTACGCGGACAAAAATTGTTAATTATTTTTCTTCTAATTAAAAAAATACTTATCGCTGTTAGAATATTTATTTATTTTGTTATAAATAGTATGTATTAAACGTTTCTTTTAATAAATCAAATATATAAATCACGTTCGCTAATGTAAACATTTCGATAATGTGAACCACACTTGGATTAAATTATATAGTTTACATTATCGAGCGTCTGCTGTAATATGTGGTACCTTTATGTCCACGGAATATTGGGACACCCTGTATACTAGAGTTTTATATCACATATACGCTACCGTTCAAGAGTTTCCGGAAATTGAAGGATGGCTGTAAAGAGGAAGAATCAACCCTAGCCTGAAGAGCAACAGGCAGATTTTAATTTAGAGAGACGAGACAAGGTGAGCGAACAACAAAATATGTTGGCCTCTTTAACATCAGCGGACCACAATCGAAAGAATTAGACTTTTGTGAGATCAAAAACGTGGACGAATTCAAATTGGGCATTTTCGGTTAATGGACAAAGTCGTATCGCATCATATCTCAGGAAATACGAGGTCTGTGAATTAAGTGATGAGACTGATTTTTTTTTATTCAAATATAATTACAATTTCATATTGTCACCCTCGAAATAACTTCCTTCTGAAGCCACACATCACTGGAGACGGCTCTTCCACTCCTCATAGCAGTGCTGGAACCCCTATACTGGAGTCGTCTTCGGCTCGTCGGTTACAGCCGTTTGATGTTGTCGACTGTCCCAAAATGAGAGAGCGGCTTGAAATTGATGTCACTCATTTTTAGAAGGCAATAGAAAAATTGCTGCGGAAAACCAAATGACTCGAAAGAGTTCAAACTTGTACTGAAAGCGGATCACATGTTCCCCTATCTCCCATCCAGGCGCGGCGCCTCCAGCGTTGGCAGATCTAACGCTACGTTGCCAGTCTCATCAGTTAATTTACAGACACCGTAAAAACACGTTGTCCCTCATCACATGAGAGTAGAATTTGTGCCATTCAGATGAAGTACCCTGTATAATAGATAGTTGCTCAGAAATGTAGCAAAGATGATGGATAAGATCTGACAGCCAACTAGCCATGTACGGTCGTTAATCCGCAAAGGAGGCTATTAGCACAAAATCGACCATTTAGCGATAGAGAAAAGACATTTCTTGTTCACATACTTCAACGGAATCACAGTGGAGAGAACCTAGTTAATCTGTGTAGCTAAATGGCTGAAAATGGCATGGCAATGTTAACTCGAATTAATTCAATCACATCGATCTTCTATAATTCATCACTTATTTTTCTTTATTATTTCGCTTTAACGGGTTGAACTAACAGTAACTTTGTAATTTATAATTATTTAACCAGCAATAAAAGATAAGTAAGCGTAGAATAAAATGACAAGTATGGCAAGTATTCAAGCTCAGTTACGTACCACGATAAGTAATCTATTAAAATTCCAAGATTTGTAATCATTCACTCCTACGACAAAATTTTGAATATTCTATCATAGCTCCCTTGTTATATCAACATGTTCATATGTGTATTCTACTTCCCACGACAATTGGCAAAGAAGTATTGTAAATTGTTATCGCGAAAAACTTCGAAAATGAGATATGTTTTTTGGATGTCACATGATACATCGTATATCACGAAAAACTGCCACTCATTTCTGTTTGTCGTTCTGTCTGTCTGTCGGTCTGTCTATCGGTTTGTCTGTCCGCTAATCCTTGACTCGCTATAACTTCGAAAGTAGCGGCCAAATTTTGATGAAATTCTGAAACAAGATTACAACTATATCAATTGAGGGGCCTGGAAGTAAAAGGGTTTAGGTACTTTTTTAGTAGTTCTGAGATAAATGGCTTCAAAGTTTACTTGAATTTGAAAATTCCAGGAATAAATTCATCAAAGTATGATACTATATTAAGTTTATTTAAATGCCAATAAAACATTACAAACAAAAAACATTTTCTTAGTTTTGCTTTTTTATTGTCATTTTTGCAAAAATGTACTTGAATCAAAAATTATGGTGGTAATATGATTCAAGTGCAACTACCGTACTAAACCAAACATTATTGAAAAATAATCTATAACAAAATTTCTTATTCATAATCAGAATCTAATATTTGGATGTCTTCATCATTTTCTTCATCTGAATCAGCTGGTCTTGGTTGGGGTTCATCTACATCAGGTACTTTTTGGCTTGATGTCAGGGTCTGTGTTTGTTTCTTTTTTCCTTTTTTTGTTAATGCTTTCCCATCCTGCTTCATGTTTTTATAAAATGTATGGTGAATGGGCGGAATGTATTCCAATAAGCTAAGCAAGTGTTTGTACTTGGCGACTTTATTCTTTATTGAAGTGCCATTCAAAGGCTTTAGTATTGAAAAGTTAAAACACGCACGCCCAACTTTTGAGGTTGCCATTAAGCAACTTCTAAACTCTACATCAATGTTTAGGGTACTCTTGTATCGAAATGTTAGTCTTTCACTTTTATAGTAAGCAAACCAGCAAATTTCTTTCCATTTTAAGGGGTAACCGTCACTATTTTTTTTTATTGGATCGTTCATAATTTCATTGAACGGCGAAAAAGAGTAAAAATCGTCTTTGTTCATATTGTACACAATAAATTTGACCGATGTGCCTCTTATTACAGTCTCGCAATCTGCGGGGACAGAAACTTAAGGGATTTGCCTTTTTTTCTTCTCGATTAAGCCAAAACTACGGCCACATTCCATGTAAGTGTGCCCGGGTTCAACGAACTTGTGATGAATCTCAGATATATGTGTAGCTTGAACAATAAAACTAAATAGTTTAGCAATGTTTTTATTCTTATTTTGTCCTCCACACGAATCACTGTATGCAATAATCTTCGTAAGTGTAGATGGAAGGCTTTGCAAAAATTTTATTAAACATGATCCTATCTCCTGTGAGCCCCTGGATGCAATAGTTTCGTTCCATACATACATATAACTTTTTCCAGTCAGCAAGTCAAAGACACAGAAATTATTCGTCCATAATTGACGAAGATAAAATACTTAGAGGTGGTTAACAATGGCGTCGGCAATGCCTGTTGCAAATCAAAACAAATTACAGCCGTATTTTTAGAATCATTTTTATTTTCAGCAATATCAGCTTTTTTGGCATATGATGCTTTCTGGGCCTTTCTTTGGTGCAGCTCGAGGTCTTGCTTGGCATTTTTAATCACGTCTTCATTTGTAGAATATTTTATTAAATTTTGTAAATTGTCACAACGACTGCAGGTATCAATCACTATAGGGCTTGTGGAATCTTAAATTGAATTCCGTATTGAAAATATGCCTGTAATAGGAATCTTTTACTGGTAATTATTGTTTGTCAATACAAAACTCCTGATATAATTTGTACATCTTATTGATACTTAATTCACCTGAGAGATACCTTGCGTTCCCAATCAGTACTCATTTTGTTTATTATTATAACACTACCAACACTGCAAAATGCGTAACGTTGAAATCACGTCACACGTAAAACATTAAAAATAGTTGCCAAAGCCTCAAGTGCACTGAATCGTTTTACCACATACTATATTAGTGGATATTTTGATATGTTCTCAAAGACTATGAGAGATGGCGGCCGGGAACGTTGCCTGCATTTAAATCATTTTACCACCAAGTTAGGACATGCTTTAGGTGTGATATCTGCACTTAGACCATTTAATTAAGAAAGTGCACTTGAATCTTTTTACTTCCAAACCCCTCAATTATAAAAAAGCCTTATAGTTTTTGAAAAACTAACCAAAAAACAATAAAATACAAATTACCCAACTTTCTTTTTTTGCCATTTCAGAAGCTCCTGATCATTTTTAGGAGAGAACTTATTGTAGAAGTTAAAAATCGTTGCGAGACAGTCAGTACTGTCGTTCGGACAGAGGAGAATCTTCGAAGTCGCCTACATTGACACATGGATGAGGACTATGGACTGATTGCATAGACCTGGTTGATTGACTTGGTCTGTTCAATTTTTTGTTATACAGGTTCGTAGACTTTTTTCTTAGAGGGGCTAACTTGATTCACATAATTCTTGATAAACTGATGACAGCGTCGCGTGGAAAGTGCAGAGTCAAGTTACTTCACGTTATTTTTGTATCAGTATTTATTCATGCAATTATTTTCATAACTGAAGTAATAAATGAAAAGCACAGGCTTATGAAAAAATCGATAAAAGTACGGACTGGAGGATATGTTCCAGTCTCAATTTTAATTATACTAAGTGACATATAAATCCGAACACCCAGTTTAAATGGTTTTATTTCAATAAAAGTTGGTGAATGTATTTATCTTACTGTAAATAACAAGTGAAAAAAATTTCAACCTTATCAGTTGGACATTCCGGTTTCTATACAGCTTTTTTTTAATTCACTAACGCTCTAAAAATGAATATTTCAGCCGCAGTAAAGAATCAACGTTGGCGGACTTTGGTTCTTGACATCCTTTACGATCGGTTATGATGCCTAGAGTACGGAGACCTGTACGATTTCGTCAACTTAGTGAGTTTGATAGGCGCCGTATAGTGGGACTTCGGGAAGCTGGACTTTCTTTTCGGGCAATTGCAGTTAGAGTGCAAAGAAGTGTAGACACTGTGGTTAGGTGTTGTCAGGCATGGTTTCGAGAAGGCCGTACGCAAAGAGCAAGGGGCACTGGACGCCGCCGTAGAACAACAGACCGTGAAGATCGCCGCCTAAGATTATTGGCCTTAAGGGACCGTTTCTCCACTACCAGGTCCATTGCAAATGAATGGTTTGCAGAAGACGGAAGACCTATTGGCATGCGAAGTGTTTACCGATGAATGAGAAGTTTTGGCTTGTTTTCATACCGGCCACACTGGGTCCTCCCTTTAACTCGAGAACACCGACGTAATCGCCTTGAGTGGTGCAGACAAAGGTCACTCTGGGATCAGGAATGGAACAGTATTGTCTTTAGTGACGAGTCTCGATTTTGTTTAGGCATGCACGATGGTCGTGCCAGGGTTAGAAGGCGACGTGGTGAAAGGAGGAATCCACAGTTTTTTGTTGAAAGACATGTTCATCACACTGTTGGAGTTATGGTTTGGGGTGATATAGCTTATGGTTCCAGGTCACCTTTAATCTTCATCAGAGGTAACATGAACGCGCAGCGTTATATCCACGAAGTTCTAGAACCCCATCTTTTACCCTATCTTGACACCCTGGCAGATCCAACTTTCCAACAAGATAATGCCCGACCACATGTTGCAAGAGTCACAATAGACTTCTTTCAACATAATGATGTCACATTGTTACCATGGCCACCAAGATCTCCCGACTTATCCCCAATTGAGCACGTGTGGGATATGATGGGTAGGAGATTGCTCAATTTGCAACGTCCTAATCAGACTCTAGAAGCACTTCGAGAGGAGTTGGTGGTTGCCTGGAATGAGATACCACAGGAGGACATTGACCACCTGATCAGAAGCATGCCTAGGCGCGTTGGAGAATGCGTAGCACATCAGGGTGCATCCACACATTATTAAAGGTCAAAGGGCTTTAAAGCAGTGCAATCATTTTGAAATGTTTATCATTTACTTATTATGCTTCATTAAGTACTTATACAAAATTTTATTAAAATAAAACCATTTAAACTGGGTGTTCGGATTTATATGTCACTTAGTATATTTACTCTACACTACCCATTCACCATTTTCTAATCTAATTATGATTTTCTATATTTCGGACTTTGAACTTTGGTGGATGAGTATCTATCACAGCAAAACTTCTGAATATACATATATGTTACATTTTTCCTCACAATCTCAAGAAAGTGTAACCCGCCTAATTTTGATCCGTTATCGATCAAATAACACTGTGACAAATGTGAGGATTTCCGGACAGCTAATCAACTTTTCAGCATCTGATATGCTCTTGCGTTCTATTTTCAAATTGTTGAAATATTGGACAATCTATCGGAAAAACACTGAACTTTGACAATCACACCTCCGCAACTGTTATAGAGCTGGATTACTGAAAAATTTCATGATCTCGACGTACTTTTCTGCTTATTGGCTTCATCAGGTCCAAATGGATGTGCATCAAAAACATCGAAGTAAATACATATGCCCATCACATCTGGATACAGGTGTGACCTGAACGAAAACAAGGATAGATCGTAATTTTTTTTTTTATATCGAAACAGCCGCGCAGGCCAAAGCCTAAATGCCGGAACACCGCGGCTGCTATGATGATCCCAAAGAAATTTTGTTAATACGATTTTTGAACTGCCTAAGGTTAGTAGAACTGGGAAAAGCTTCCTCCCGTAGATTGTTCCACAATCTAGACACCCTCGGAACAAAGGAGCGGTCGTATCGGCCAGTTCTGGATGTACGAAGTTTGACACGGTTAGGATGGGACGCCGAAGTCAGGCGGGTCTGTCTGGCAGGCACATCGCGCGGCGGCGTCATGGAAGAGAGCTCTGAGGAGCAAAGCCCGTTGGTGTAGCGATAGAAAAGAACTAGATCGCCGACGGCCCGCCGGTGCGAAAGAGTCCCGAGACTGTCTGTTAGAGAAGAGTCATCGATCAGTCGGACCGCCCTCCTCTGGACAGCATCGAGCATGGACAATGTAGTCGGGGCGGCAGCACCCCAAATGTGTGAGCAATACTCGAGGCTAGGCCTTATCTGGGCCTTGTATAGAGTGAGAAGGTCATGCGGAGAAAAGTACTTCTTAGCCCTAAACAAATAGCCTAGCTTTTTCCCAGCAGCTGCAGCTATTGAAGAGATGTGTTCGTGCCAGATCAGTTCCTCGGTGATCTGGACTCCGACCAGCCGAAATGAATGGCTCTTTGGTAGAACTCGACCGTCCATCGAAACTGTATGAGCGCTAGGACGCTTTTTGTTCGTCAAAGTACAGTACTGTGTCTTGGAAGCATTGAACTGTACAAGATTGTTGCGTCCCCAAGCAGTGATAGCTTCCAGGTCTCTTGTCAGAGAAGAAGTCGTCGCTAGTCTTCTTTTTTCCAGCTCAGCGGCAGACATCGGCTTGTCACTCTGAACTCCTGCATGCAGAGTGCTGTCATCAGCGAAGC